TGAAAAAAGTCAAGTGACATGTCTAAGTCACATAACAAGGATACTGCAAAGAGGAAACTACCTCAGGTTTCTCTGGTATTACTTCTGTAACTCCCAATATTCAAAATACTTTCAAGGAATGATACAAATTCAAAAGAGGTAAAAATTCTGTATTTGCAGATAAAAATATTGTGTATGAATCTGCTATAAGCCATTTCACTTGCATGATAGGATAATACATGTAAAGCACTAGGTAAACAAACTTCACTCAATTCAATATTTGCAAGAATTAATTTTCTAAGTTTACTGAGTTGATAATATTAAGTCTCAATTCTCAAGTTGTTCAAGTAGGTATCAGTCTTTCATCTACATGGAAAAATCATGGGAAACAGTAATACTCAATTTACACACACACACACACACACACAGTCTGGGGTAAATCTGGCTTTATACATATCCATTTGGCTTATTTTTGTTATTTTTAAAAAATAACTATCGGTATAGTTATTTGAATACATCAAAAAATCCACAATTTCATCTCAATACTTAAAACAATCCATGAACTAGTAGAACAATTTTCATTATACTTCAAAGCTGTAAAAGCCAAAATGCAGAATAAATCTTCTTCCAAGTGATATAATTTGGGAGAAAAATAAATTTTTAACCAAACTATTTAACTGATCCATTTATAGACCACATTTCCATAAAATAAGTACAACAAAGCTCCAATAATACTGGAATTGTAAGACAAAATTCCATATTCATATTCATCTTATTATTAAATTTTAAACACTTAACACATGGTAAACTAGAACCCAAGCAAAAATGGCTTTACTATAAAAGGTTCTAATAAATTGCAAAGCACACACAAAAAATGGAGCGTGCGCGCTCTCTGAGCATGTCCTCTCTCTGAGCATGCGCATGCCCATTCCTCTCTCCGTCCCCCAGGTGTGCCTTGTCTGTCTTTCTCCTAAGCTCCCAGGGCCCTTCTTTCGCCTCTGTAACTTGTTTCCTGAGGCCTCACAGCCCAGCTGGCTCACTTCTAGTGCTATAACTTTCTAAATAAACTTTTGCTTGTATTTGAAAAAGTAATTTTAAATATTTTATTTATTTTTAGAGAGAGGGGAAGGGAGGAAAAAAGAGAGGGAAAGAAGCATCCATGTGTGGTTGCCTCTCATGCTCCCCCTACTTGGGACCTGGCCAACAACCCAGGCCTGGGCCCTAACTGGGAATCAAACCAGCGACCCTCTGGTTTCCAGGCCAGCACTCAATCCACTGAGCCACACCAGCCAGAGCTGCATTTGAAATTTTAAAAAAGAAATAAAACACAAAACACTGGTCAAACCAATTTCAACTAGGAAAGGAACAAAGGAAGTACTACTTACATAGTATACAAAACATTGTGAGGTGGGCAGAGCAAATTTACGGCTTGTTATTAAGATTGGTGTTCAGAAAAAGGCAAATTATGCTTTAAAAGCCCTAAAGATATGTTCCAGTGAAGTAAAAGTTCACTAGAACAATCTGTACAATTAAAGAGTGAATTAATAATAATTCACCTAAGGCTTGGACAAAAATTCATCTTTCCACAATCTATAATCTATATAAATTTGCCATAAAGGTTAGGTAACTATGTCTTGTTAAACAAAGGCCAAGTCTTAAAAGCAATCTTTTTTTTTTGCGGGGGGGCCTGGCTGTTACCTAATATTTATGAAAGTAATAAAACTACATTCATTAAACAAATTATATGATCCTGAAAATTTAGTAATTCAGACTAGCCTTTCCTACTGAAAAATCAATGAGAGTTTGCTGTTATTTCATCTTTCTCCTGAAGAGAAAATGAACCATTCTTGAAAATGTTCCCTTGTAATGATTTCCAGTATCACTCAAGAAGTAATACTTTCTCAAGGGGGAATTCCTCTTTAAGAATAAGAATTCTTCTTTAGGAATAAGATTAAGAGATTATTTTGCCTTTCTCTTACTCTAACAAATGAATTTAATTCATTAAATGTATTACAATGTTGCCAATTTATATGATGCTTTAGACATTTGGTAAGCACATGAGATGTGCTACAAAACTTGAGCCAATAGAAGCCTTAAAAGCCCAAACAAAATTTTATCCAAATATGAATTATCATCACAACAGTTTTAAGTACACTTCTACAAGAGCAGTAAAATGAAATCAACATTCTATGTGCTTCTCAAGCTGAGCATAAAATAAATTCCAATAAATCCTTTCACAATTTTACCATTAACAATTAGGCAGGACGAACATATTCTATTGAAGAAATACTTATTTCAAACTAAATCTTTCACTGGTAATGCACTTCATGTTCTGAATGTAAGCTATGTTACATAACTTGTATGCTTTAAAAACTCTATAGTTATCTTAAAATTCTATTCTCTTCCTCTCCTCATCACAAAGCGATGACAAATATTGTAAGATAAATTTTTCATTTTCTTGGTGAAAAGGCATTTGTACTTAAAAGAAATACTCCTAAGTCAACCGAATATCCCCATGGAAAGCCTTCAATTACAATTTAGGAAACACTAAGTCCACAGTACACTGCAGTAGAGTAAAACCCAAATCAACGAACCCTATACATTATACACAAAAATACTACCTGTCAAAATTGTATTGTCAAGAATTTTACTGGCAGCATTTAAAAAACAAGAAAGCATTAGACAATAAAAACAAACACTAATGCAGGAGACAGTTCAGCACATAACAATACACCATTTCTTTATGACTGATTAAGATAACACTATGTTACCTGAATTCCTCCCAATGACCTAAGAATACCAGGCCTTGTTCAAACTACTAATTCTTAGAGGTTGGGGGGAAAGCTTCTCTATCCTTTCACACCAAAGAATCAACACCTGGCTCTACTTTCTTCAAGCAGTTTTACTGCATTTGTGTGCTACTCTGTAAGAAGCAAGTCATTTCCAATTATAAAACACCATTGAATATTTTATCCTATACAAAGAAATCCTGAAAATTTTACAACAGACTATCTGGAAAGGCACTTAAAGCTAACTAGTTAAACAAGATGGACAACATTTAGGAGACTTCTTTTTTATACCATAGGCTCCTTAATCCTGTACTCTTATATCATTTAATCTCTTTTGATTGTAAATTTCCCAATAAATTAAATGCTGTTCAAATATAAATTAAGAAAGTTATAACAAGCAGGGACAAGCCTACATCCTGACTGATAAATGAGGCAGAGTAATTCTGCCTCCAAAGTAAGTGAATGTTGTGACTCTAAGGAGGTTAAGAGAACAAGAAGGAACAAGGGAGTAAAGCAAGCACGGCCTGGATAGGATTAGACTCTTGACTTAAGGGAAAAAGCTTTCATTTTAGTTTTCAGATTCAAAGAGTCTTAAAAGTATCTTTGGATAAGTAAGCGAAGTAAATAGTTCCATGTATTTTTTTCTAGGGTCATCTATAAGTCTTAAGTGTTTTGTTTTGTTTTCTAACTCAAATAGTGAAGATGACAAAGACATTACAATTAGTTTGGGCAATAAAAGGACAACTTGTAAGGTTTCACTTAAATTATGTTTTGGAATTAAGCAAAAATGGGCAATATTCTTCAAGTTCAGCAGTTGTGCCTTAGAGAGGAGTCAAATTATAAAGACTCAAATGTCTAAAAATCAAAATACTTAAACTTGATATTAAATATCTTTATAATGTTAAATCATAACATTGTTGGTGGGCTCAGTTCTAATTCAGTGATTCTAATAGTTAAAAAGTTATTTCCCACTATTGCATCAGTGTTCTACAAAGTAATTTCATTAGGAAGGCAAGTAAAACAGCAATCATTTTCTCCCAGTTTATTAACCAAAAAGCAAACAAACCATAAAAATCTTTATAATGCTATTCTCCCTTAAGTGATCAATACTGAAAATCACTCATTAAATAAATTCACCATCAAAAATCAACCTTCACCTTAAGTTCCAATAGAAATGGCCTTATGGAAAAAATATTCTATTTACTTCTCTCCACTCATACAATGCAACTAGAAATGTTACCGAGGCTATGACTGGACTAAGAATGTGAACAGTTTTCACATAACTGGAATACTGAATGGTTTGAAAAGGAATGTACAACAACCCTGCTGCTAGTGCAAAAAATGTTTTCTATGTGAAGTAGAAAAGGCTGCCCTTGCCTCAAGATACTTTACTGCCAACAGTCAGAAAACTGTGATAATTAGCAGTACCGTGACTGCAAGACTATAAATGGCAACTGTGAGATGTGCATCATTATATCCAGAGTTCTCTGATAATTCCTTATTCTATTACCTTCTTTTCCTATATATATCTTAAATAAATCCAAAACATCAAGCTAAGATTCTCTTAATGGAGGAAAAAAAAAGCACTCAACACAGCTCCCTGTATCACAAAATAACAGTTAAATGGATACATATGCCACTAGTAATAACAATGATGATGATACAACTTTATTCAATATTGATCTTCATTCTCTCATGCTCTCAGTTTGTCTGCTTGTCTGATTCTGAGACCATTAATATATGAGCCTTGCTCTTTCAAGTAATAAAAGGTACTTGTAAAATGACAGAATACAGAAAACTTAAAATTCACATTAAGAATATACATGGAATGCTGCTTCTTTATGCTTATTGACAGTACTAGTTGGTGGTTGGAAAAGAAAATGACTACACATCATCTTTCTAATTCTAAACTTTTCAGATAAAGTGGGTGCATCAAACCATGGCAGCTTTCACAGAAAACCAGAGCTGAAAGTTGGAGCACTTCCAATATCCAAAAATGTACTAGCTGCACCAGAATATTATTATCCCAGAAGTCAATAAATATTGTTCCTAACTGAGCAGAGAGGAAGACATGAAGACAGGCCATCAGCAGAATATACTGCCAAATATTAATGTTATTTAAAATCTTTAAAATTCCACAAATTCATGGTGAATAGAACCTCTAAAATTCAAGAATTAAAATTTACAAAAATAAATACCACTCTGACACTCAAGGGACATCTTCACTTTAAGGCCTTTATCACAAATCGGAATCTTTATTGTTCTGAAATAAATGTAATAAACATAACTCAAAACAAAAACTGAATATTCAGTCTCAGAAGAAGTGTGGCACAAGCCCCATCACATGTAACAAGAAAACTTCCTTTAAAAAAAATGGAGAAAAGAAAGTACTATGAGAAGTCTTTCATATGAATAAAAATGCACCCTTTGGATTTTTTTTTCTCATCTAACTTGTATACACATAGGAATCAAAAAGTTTGCGTTTTCTTCACAATAGTTCTTGCTATGATGTTTGACGGACTTTTTGCCATTCAACAAATTCATCGAGAAGAACAGGCCCTAGAAATAAAGAAACAATTTCTGTTAGAATTCAGTGAACTAACCTAACTTATTAGAAAAACTCCTCATGAGCTCCGTGAGGATAATAATAACTGACCTTTCCCTTATTCAGGTGTTTTGCTTCCAGCCTCCCTCTTCAGCACCTAATGGTGCTGTCTTAGCTTTTTCGTTTTTCCTTTGTTTTAAATAAAGGGCTTTTACACAACGGGTATCTTTGGCAACTTCCTTCTCAAAGTTTAAGTGTTTCATGAACTCTCCAATAACTAAATCAATGTTAACCTCTCCCTTATTGCAACTGCACATAGAATTTGCCATTTCATTATTAAACAATGTGAAAAGTGTTAAACCTAGTATTTCTATGTTGCCTCACCTAGAAGTATGTGAGTTTGTTGAATGGGTAACCATATTAGAGACTTATACAGTTCCAGTTAAATCTCAACACAAAGCAAGTAACTAATAAATACATGACCTAAGAACTGAAGACATTTTTATAATTCAAGGGGTGCAAAGTCATTTACCTACAGAAGCCAGCCAGGTAGGTAATTTAAATGAGCTCACTGTTTACTTTTTTTTAAATTTGTTTGATTTTATTTTTATTGTTGACACTATTACAGATGCCCTCCATTTCCCCGCTCTTCACCCAGCACACCCTCCCAGGCTTCACCACATTGTTGTCTGTATCCATAGGCTATGCAATATGTTCTTTGGCTAATTTCTTCTAGTTCTTCCCCACCCTCTCCCCATGAGATCTGTCAGTCTGTTCCATGTATGCATGCCTCTGGTTTTATTTTGTTTGAAAACTCATTGCCACAAAGAAATATGGCTGCCCTATTTTTCTTAAAATGAACAACCTTGTGGTAGTCTCTATTTTTCTCTTGCTTTTGATAGACTGTAAAATAAATAGCAAACAAGTACAATAATAAGTGTCAATTGAAAAGCAACCTAGTTTTGGAATACCAGCAAACTGGAAAGCAAGTCCAACATAAGCCACTACTGGGCTCCAGCCACTAATTCCTATGAAAGGTATAGTTTTGTCAGATTTTAGAAAAAGCTTTCATATTAATATAACTTTTTCTATTATAGCTGATGTTTTGCTTTCCTATTTTTTTAAATCATGAGTAGTCTTTTCTTCCATAGAAAAGTACCAGGAAAGGCAGACATGAGGCAGAATTTTAGCTTCTAGATACAGAGATTATAATTTAAATTAAGCTTTATTATGCTGTTACTGAGAAACTAAAAATATTTCATTTATCAGCACAGATTTTGTACTATTGCTCAATCTAAACTCTCCACCTACCATACATACCTGCCTCCCCTACACTTCCTATAAATAAAAGCTACTGTTAAGCAATTTAAGTCCTTTATGGTAATGTTACACAAATGCATATTCTCATTTAATAGTCTAAAAAATTTTATTTTCATAGGAAAACATACTTACAAGCACCGTCTTCATCATAGTTACTAAGATCGGCATGGACTGTTCTGCTGAATTCTAATACATTGTACCACTGATCTTTGTTCATTACACGATACTTTGATTGCTGAGGAAAATAATATAAATATTTGGATTATAGAACAAGCATTATTTATTAGGGCCTGACTTCTCTAAATGTAGTTATATTTTGTAATCTGGTCATACCTAAAACACTTATTCCTCTTTTAAATTATTTCTGTATCTAAGAGAATCCTCAGGGGCATTTACATTTTAACGTCACCAATTTATTTCTTCGTTTATTTTTCTTTCATTTTTGAAGAATAACAAGAGTATCAGGGTACTAATGAAAATTTTACCTATATATATTCTTGTGTAACCAAAAATGAGATCAAGATATACACTATTTCCTACATCCAGCTAGTTCCCTTCTGCTGCCTCCCAGTAATTCATTTCTTTGAATGAGATTTACTATTTAGACACATTTTGAAGTTGGCACCTTTGGAGGCAATGGAAAGACTACAGACATGGGTTCAAATTCCACTCTGCCACTTAAATGAGTAACTTTAGGAAAGTTACATAAAAGAACCCATTTCCTCATTTGCTAATGGGCATTAAATGCAATTCAAAATGGTGTTCTAAAGATTTTAAAAGATAGTATGTCAAGCACCCTTCACTGGATAACAAGTGTTTGAAAATATTTAGCCCTCTCAGTTCTTTTTGGAAGTATTTTTATATTCAGTTATATTTAATTTTGCCAAAACTACTAATAGGATGAAGACTGATAACATCCATCATCGACATCTATTTTATTAGGCTGAAAGATTTAAGTGTGCACTAAATCCATTCACACAAGACCTTTCATACCACTGTCTCTTATCACGAAATTAAGCAAATAGTCTGGAGAACTTGCTATGATAAACAATCAGCTTTATGAGAAATTATTTTCAAAGCCAAAAGCAGATCTGTAATATAAAAAATGGTGAGACCTATATAAAAATAAAACATAAGAAACTTTTCAGGCACAAAAATGGATAGAAAACCAAAGGAAGCAATGGAAAAAAAGGAACAGTATCTTCTTAAAACCACTGCCTATAGTAGCAGATAAACCTTTTAAAAGAATACTTTCTTCATAAATTCAGCATATACTTTTAGTAAGCAGTACATTTAAGTACATACACCATTACAGACAGCCTCATATTTGTAGATATCAAATATGAAAAGCTTTAGATTGAGCCTAAGTGAAAGTTCGATTACTATAACTCGTTCTTATGTGGATTTCAGCCTAAGACCCTGTGTAACAGAAAGAAATCTGATTTAGAAACTTCAGATTTGCGCACTATCATTAACGTTCTCCTGCCAAAAGCCCAAGAAAGTGCTTTTGTGTGAAGACTGTGCTAAAATTATTTCTTGAAGTTTCTTTTTTAATAGAGAGCAAGGGAGCATGCAGAACATAGAATTAAAATAACTATGTATAGAATATATTACTGAATATGAACTTGTATCTAAATATGACAAGCAGGTCATACATTTTAAAAGTAATTTTCTACTAAAGCAGATTTTTTAAAAAGCACAGTATTAAAAACCTATTTGCTTTTTCTCAAAGATGCATTGTCAATCAGACAAAATTTTAAAACCGTATTTTCAAAATCAAAGAAAAAGATTCATACCTCCAGGTACTGGTAAAATACTGAAAACAGTGGCCATGTCCTCCCAAGCAGAAGAGCTAACATAGATTTAGCAGTATCAATATCAAGGCTTCTCTGATCTTTATCCTATAAAATAAGTAAAAAAAAATTTCATAAGTGTGGCCTCAAGATTAAAAATCTATTAGAATTACACAACATGAATATTCCACTTACCCTTGCAAAATCAAAGGCATATCTGTAGATATTCTTAAACGAAGAAATATCATTCAAATGTGAACGCAAAAAGTCAAATTTGTTCTGTAACTTTTCTGTGCAGTCACACCTTAAAGTTAAAAATCAAACATTATATAATCACAAAAATTAAATAAAAGCACCTTTAGAAAGTTTAAAGGAATTCATTATGAAAAAAAAGTGGGAGCAAAATAGTTATTTAGATTTAAAATACTGATTCAAAATTCAGTACAACAAACCAACCTGTTGCCTTGTATCTACCAATGCAATAAAAGGGAAAAAAACCCCTAGAAACCAATTAAAGTTCACTCCAATGACAATTACAAAAAAAAAACTCAATAAAAAACTCCAATAAAATTTAAAATGTCTCTTAAAAAAGAGAGGTATTAAAATGTGCTTTCACCACATAGTTAGCAAATGACAGAACAAATGAAATCACTCAGGCCTCTGTCACATATTTCACTGGAAAGTTCTTAGGCACCAGCTTGGTGAGAGATTAGCCATGAGTAGTTTTCAAAGTTTAAGAATTGCACTGAGAAAATTAATATATATTAGCGGTTCAGTCATAAATTCAGACTTACATTTCTAGTCAACAAAAAATTGAGGAAAATCAGTGGCAGCACCTGACTTCAAGTAAGGTACATATACATGCCAAAGAATGCAAACAAGTTATACATGTTACTTCTAAGACAAGACATTAAACTTAAGAAGCTAAATAAACAGAATGCTCAAAAATCTTTACTGACTTTGACTTTCACTGGGTTGATATATTCCACTACTTAGCAAGAAGCAAGACAAACAAAGCCTTTCACAATTGGCCCAAATCTCCTGTTACATCATCTGCCAGGTCCCAATGTCCTTACTGTGCTGTATTTATATGTCACCATAACCAAATGCCACAAGGATGCTTTAGTACATATTATTTTCCTGTACCTGAAATGCTATTCCAACACTTTCACTAAATATTACTCATCAAAACCTCATTCTGCCATCCCTGAGACCACCTGACTCCCTTCAATCCAATTAGTTGTGCTATCTATGTGATCCAGTTATTTCACTCAAAACTGAATTTTAGTACTCATCATGTAGTACAGACACCTAGCATCTGTTTTAACTAAGATTTTCACTATTCTAAATCAGTAACATGACATGTAATAACTTACTATTTTATTAAAGTCTAAATATTTTGATTAAATTTCTATTCTTCCTTAATCTTGCATATCTAGAATAAGCCAAATTTGATGGTATTACCAGTTAACCCATTGCTAGATTTTTTTTTTTGCTATGCTCCTGTGTGAGACTGGCTTATATATTTCATTCTGTTACATCCTCCTTGCTAGTTTCGGTAACAAACTTGTAACATAAACCTCAGAAAAAATAAAATGAATACTAGTATTCTTTCTTTTGAAAAAGTTTACTGACCACTGAAAATAGCAGTTGTCTAAACTTTGGTGAAAAACCAACTGGGCCTTTTTAATGGTGATAGGCCCATTCAGATTTTCTAGTTCTTTTTCAGTCCTGCTTGATCTTATTTGTATACTTTTCAGATACTTTGTATACTTCACACAATTTTATTTAAATATATCAATTAAAATTATTTATAACTTCTAATATGCATTGTATTTTTAACTTTGATTTTCTTGACCATCTTGTCAGAATTTAATTCTCTCAATTTTAGCTTTGCTTTTAATTTTATTAATAAACATCTTTTCATCTCCTTTTACCTTCTTTCTTTGGGTTGATCCTTTTTAAAACTTCTTAAATTAGACACTAGCTCATGCAGTTTCAGGCTTTTTTTTCTTTAAGTATAAATTTAGCTTCAGCCACAGTTTTGATTATCACAGCTTTCATTCTTCACTTGTAAATGATGCTTTGCCAAGTGATTTCAGAGAAGAGGTAGGGACAAAAGTCTTACTAGAATAGGTGTAAGAGGAGGAGGAGAGAGGAACTAGAGAAAATAAGTATAGATACATGGTTCCAAAGAATTTGGTCCTAAAAGACAGAGAAATGAGGAACTAACTAGAGTGGGATTGGAGTGAGGGGCACAGAAGGTTTAAAAAAAAAAGATAACTTCTGCTTCCAGGAAGATGGAGTAAAGGTACTTTTCCCTCTCTGGGTAATTCAACTAAAAGCCCTAGACATTATATATATAACAAGCATAAAAAGTTGTTTCAGGGACAATAGTGAGTTCCCTGGGTTTTCTTTCTGCCTCATCTCTCCTAGCTAAAGGAATTGGCAAACCAGAAATGCCAATGGGGCAGACAAAAAAAATAAAGAAAAACCCACCAAGAAAGCCCCATCTTTGCCAGTAAAGACTGAATGGAGACCTAAATTGTCCACCCTCACCATGTATAAGGATGCCCCGCTCTCAACTCCTGCATTATCAATGGAAACCACATGGAGAACATGAACTTCTCCTCCCACCAGGTAGTAAGGAGTAGCCAATACTCCTCTGTCCTTGGGTAGTATCAAAGAAGAACTTGTGAAGAGTCAGGGCTTTTACCCTAGTCGTGTGAGTAGAGACTTCGTGGGGAACAAGAAGGTGTATCAGTGGAAGCCTAGTGGGGATCTACAACTGTCATGCCTGCCAATACTAATGAGGACCTCCCTCCTCAGATGTCAATGGATGAAGAGTAAGAAACTTTAGTTTCTACCTGCAACTGAAAATAATGCCAAAGTCGTGTTATAGGAAGCTAGTTAAAGCAATAGGTTTAGCCCTCATTGGTGTGGGTCAGTGGGTTGGGCACCATTCCACAAATGAAAAGGTTGCCAGTTCGAATTCCTGTCAGGCACATACCTGGGTTGTGGGCCAGGTCTCCTGGTTGGGGGTGTGCAAGAGGCAACAACCGACTGATGTTTCTCTATCACATCAATGTTTCTCTCCCTCTCCCCCTCCCTCCCTTTCCCTCTCTCTAACAATAAATAAATAATTTTTTTAAAAAAAACAGGTTTAAATAAGATCCAAAATTTCATTAATATTCAAAATTTCCAGGTTATAATAAAAAATATCACTTGTCCTACTAAAAGCCAAGATATTAAAGAGAATGCAAAAATGACAATAGATGCAAACACAAAAGTGACATTTAGATTTGACAGAGATTTTAAGTTACTATAAAAATGCTTCAATAATCAATTGTTAATGAAATAAAAAATGAAGATAGAAAGTGAAAAATTGTAACATGTAAAAGAGAACCAAATGAAAATTTTTGGATTGTAAAATACAGGACAGAATTAAACCCTTCACATTAAATGCCAGTAGCCTAAAGATTACCATTAGAAGACAAAAATGGACATTTAAAAAAAAAAGACCCAACTATATGCAATCTAGAAAAAAGAAACTGACATGAAGGCAGACTGAAAGTAAAATAATGGAAAGTTGACGTATTGCAGAAACAATAAGAAATGAGGCTGACAATGTTAGTGTCAGCTAATGTAGAGTTCAAAGTAAAAAATCACAACAAAGAGGAACATTACATGTTGATAAAAGAAAAAAAAGTCAATCCATCAAGACATAACAATCCTAAATATGTATACACCAAACAAGAACCACAAAATATGAGAAGTACTTTTAGAACTGAAAGGAAAAATATAAACAAGTCAACAATTATAGAGATTTCAATAACCCCTTTCTCAGCAACTGATAGTACAACTAGACAGAACATCAGCAAACATAGAGAAGAATTTCGGCAACACCACCCATCAACAGGCTCTAATTGACAATAATAAGAGACTTCATTTAATGACAACAAAACACATATTCTTTCCCAGTGAACCTTGGAACATAAGACAAGAGAGACCATATTCCTGAGCCATAAAACAAATGTCAACAGATACGAAAAAATTGAAATAGCACAAAATATATTCTCCGACCATAATTAAACCAAACTAGAAATGGCATAAAGATGACAGCAAAATCTCCAAACACTGAGAAAATAAACAGCAATGTCCTAAATAATCCACAGATAAGGGCATGTCTCAATGAAATGCAAAATAAATGTTAAACTGAATGAAAATGAAAACATAACACATCAAATTTTGTGAGACAAAAAGCAGTGCTGAAAGGGGTAGTACTAAATGCAAACATTAGAAAAGAGAAAAAGTCTCAATCAACAATCAAAGCTCCCAACTTCAGAACCTAAACGAAGAATAATAGCAAAATAAACCTAGAGCAAGCAGGAGAAAGCAAATAATTAAGAGCAGAAAATAATGAAATTAAGAACAGGAAAACAAGAGAGAAAAATCAATGAAACAAAGAATTGTTTTTTTTGGAAAAGATCAATATAACTGACAAGTTTTTAGCAGGGTAACAAAGAAAAAAGGAGAAGACAAAAATTAGGAATAAAATATAGAACAGTATTACAGGTGGACAACGGGCCCCTGGTTTGGAGAGTGAATCCTGCCCACAACTGCCCCTCAGGCTGGAACTCCAGAACAAGTGAACAGGTTTTTTTCCCCCACAAACATTGCAGAAATCTCTCAGCCAAAGGAGCCTCAGATTAGGACAGACTGCAATGGATTCAGGAATCCTGCTGAAATGAAAGGAGGAGCTGACCTACACCATCTGCCTGGAGCTCCTGACAGAACCCCTGAACATGGGCCATGGGCACAGCTTCTGCCAAGCCTGCATCAATGCAGACAACAAGGAATCCAAAGTCAGCAAACAAGGAGAGAGCAGCTGCCCTGTGTGCCAGCCTGGTACGAGCCTGGGAACCTGCAGCCTAATCAGCAAGCATATGGCCAACATAGTAGAGACACTTAGGGAGGTAAAGTTGAGCCCAGAGGAGCAAAAGAGAGATCTCTGTGTGCACCATGGAGAGAAAGTCCTGCTCTTCTGTAGGGAGGATGGGAAGCTCATTTGCTGGCTTTGCGGGAGGTCTCAAGAGCCCCGAGCTTTCCTCATGGAGGAAGTTGCCCAGGAGCACAAGGAAAAGCTGCAGGTAGCTCTGGACAGGCCGAGGGCTAAACACCAAGAAGCTGAAAAGTTGGGAAGCTGACATCAAACCAGAGAGAACTTCTGGAAGAATGTGAAGGGCATCATGGAAAGGAGTAAGACCTTCCCTCTCAAGTCAAAAACCGTCTCCAAAAAACAAA